CCGGCTGCTAAAGATATTCCCAGTTGCCGTCTCTGGCATGCCAGAAGCAACTGTCGAGCTGGCGGTGGCCTCCCGGCTCCTTGAGTCCGAAGGCACCGAAGCAGGCAAGGAGTTTCTGGTGCCTCTATGTTCATTGTGCCTGCCACCATGCCCGAAGCAATCATATTGGTTACCTGGGTTCCGAAGCAAGGTACCCCGCATGACTCACTCTATTTTTCTCATATTTCCTACAGCAGAAAGCCTAGTAAGCGTTCCCTAGCCCAGATGCAGCTCCAGCGGGCAAAGCGATGCTGGAACGGCCAGAAAGGAAGTAACGCCACAAGCAGTGCCACAGTTATGGCAAACGGCCTCCACATGGCACTCACTTTGGCTGTGGTATGGCCATTCCCATGATGACCAGATAATTATGCCAATTTATGCTATGCCTCGCCGCGGGGTTTAGGATTCAGTTTAGTGTTTAGGATGCTGCTTGGCACCCGACAACCCACGACCTCATCTAGACAGAGGGTTTCAGGGCTTGCGGCGCTGCGTGTTTATGTCATAACCTTAAACAGCCAAGCGCGGTTCCTAAACCAATCCATCCTAAACACCCGAGCATTATGGAGGTTCGGGGTTGCCCTATACCTAAAAAATCAAATCAGCCGTGGAGCACTGAACCCCTGAACCCCTGCTTTAACTTTGCAGGTCTACGTAGGTGCTTGCTTGAGACTGTCGGTTTAGGTCTCAGGGATTTAGGGTTTCGGGCTTTAAGGGTTTGTGGTTTAGGCTAAGGGCTGAGGAATGAGAAGAATACATCAAATCTTGTTTAAACCGAGTGCACGATTTGGAACATTAGCGGAACGCCACGAAAGAACGGGTGAACAGACGAGTGATACTCAAAGGGCATACAAACCGAACGCCCCAGACAGAAAAACCCGACAGCGAAAAGAACCGAAACCCCAGACCCTAGGCCTCAGTCCGAAAGAAGACAGAAAGCTTTAGGCATTTCAGTAAAGGTCCCTCCGCCCTTGGCAATGGTAGGGTGTGACCTTTGAACTAGTTTAGGGTTCAGGGCTTAGGGTTAGGGGTTTGCCCCTTGGCCGGTCACCCCACAACACCACAGGAGGCCCAACCGAAAAGACCTGTTCCTCCGTTCCGCCCCTTCCGGAGGCCCCAAGAAGAGCCCGAAGGGCGAGAGACGTTCACACTCTTCTGAGGACTGAAAAGGGGACCGTCAGAGTCGAGTCATTGTGTCCTAGCGGTCTTGGCAGTTCTTGCTCCGACTGCAAAACCTCCGGCTCCAGAACGACCTTCAGCAAGATGTCCCTATCAAGACCTCCGCAAGCTCGGCAAACCCTTGCGCTGACGCCAGGCACAAGGAAGGGATCACAAAAGGTTTCCGTCGAGGTTCCCCTTCAGGTTTCTAGAAACAAACAACTTCTTCCAAGTACCTCCAAACCCTATAAGCCCTACAAAACCCTAAACATAGGAAACCTCAAATTACCGAACCCCAAACCCTAAGATACCCGAAGATACGCTCAGGTAAGGGCTCCCCTGTCCCAAGTCGCCTCTGCAGCCGGCGCGGACATCGGCCTCGGCTCGCGCCGGCCTTCTGAGGGAGGGCCTTCGGGGGAGGCGGCCTTTGGAGCCCCTGATCTTAGGGCTTTGGGTTTGGGGTTCAGTGGTTCAGGCGTTTCTTTGGGCTTTAGGTTTAGGAGTTCGGGGGTCTCGGAGTGTCAAGGGCTTCCAGCTCTGCGGCTCCTTCTGCAGAGGACACAGGCACGATGGCAAATTGACACAGACTGTGTGGCCTTGGGGGTCTCGAAGAAGGGGGGTATGCTTCTTAAAGTTGCCCTGGCCTCCCAAACACCCCCACAGTGGTGCGATCCAGACCTCCAGAAGTCTCTGCAGGGCAGAGTCCCGAATCCGAGCCTGAAGTGAAAAAGCCAGGGCTTCTGCATGGGAGCCAGGCACCTGCAGGCGAGAACGCGCGGCAGCCTGGGAACTACGAGTCCGGACAGCTTTGTCTGGGTTTAGGCTTTAGGGCTTTAGGGTTTTCTGTTCAGGGAGGTGGGGTTTGGGTGTCGTGCTGGGCGTCTGGGAATCCGCTACAAATCCTAGAAATGCCGCTGCAACAGCGTTAGGCCGGGAGCCACCAGGAAACACCACCAAGCCGTTCTCGGCAAAGGGACCCTAAACCCTTCGCGAACGCTGCCCGTATGTGCCCGTGGCCCCGGTTGGACTTGGACCTGGAGGCGCCCGCCAGCAACCGGCACGAAACAATCCAGATTAGAGGCACCTCCCTGAAAAGCCTGCCGACCCCTGGAAACCGAAGTTGGAAGCCACTTCTGAACCCTCACACTCCCCCCAAACACTCGGGTTTGATTTGAGGAGAGGAGATCATCCTTACAGCACCCCTTGACTTTGAGACCCAGGTCCCCGTCTTCATCCTGCACGCACGTCTCTCACAGTCTACATGCACGCACAAAAAGCCCCAAGCTCCAAGCCCTGCTGTAAAAACTTTGCATCATCCTTCCAAAACACTTGTACCACACCAAGCCCTGATAAAACCCCAGCGAAGTCCAGCGGAAAAAGTTCGCAAACCCGCCACACTCTCCAAGCCCGACCCAAAAACCCTATAGAACCCTTAAAAACACCAAAACCCTCTGAGCCCCACAGCTCCCGAGTCTCTCGTCGTAGTGGGTCTGCCGGGCCGACATCTCAGCTCGAGCAGGGCATGGGCTTTGGCTCGGGCTTTAGGACTTCCAGGGTTTGTAGGGCGTTTTTTTGGGTTTCGGGCTTTGGGGGGTTTACAGGGTTTAGGGTTTCGGGTCTTGGGGTTTTGGGTTTGGGCTTTGAGGCTTTTTCGCCTTTAGGGTTTGGGGCTGGGTGTAGGGCCGATCTGTGGTTCTTTCAGGGCTTCGGGCTTGTGGTGAAGCGCTTTGGTGATTCCAGGACCTGCCTTAGCTTTAGGAATCGTTGTGGTGTAATACAGGGGCCGAATTACCAGTACTACGTTGGGATTCCTTATGATATTAACAATACCATTTCTCCCAAGATCCTATTCTTATTATTGAAGCCCCTATATGTTAGAGTGTTGGATCTTGGGTTTAGGCTCTGGGTTCTTGGGCCTAGGGTTCGGGTGTGACGACGTAGGGTCTGCGGTCTACGTTTTGGGGTTTAAGCGTAGGGGTCTTGGGTGTGCGATGGTGTTCGTCAAGGCTTCAGCCTCTGCTTCTCCCGCAAATCAAACACGTGGCATGGGCAATACCCACCTGGACCTAAATGCAGAATCCCAAACCCTACTACAACCCTAAAACAAGAGCCCTAAACCCAAAGCCTCAAAGTTACTCCGAGGCCCCCGGCAAGCTGCG